TGAATAAGGAAAAAGTCCGACTTGTGTGTTATCCGCCTGCCAACTAGGCAGATTTAATACAGGCGTGTACAGCCGTTGCCTAGTTGGCAGGCTGATTACACAAAAGTCGGCCTTTTTCCTTATTCACGCCAAAATCCGTTCAATTTGAAACGGGCTAGCCAGGATTTGCACCGGGCGTTTCGTTGTCCAGGAGTGACTCTTTAGGTACCGTGAAATTTGTAGTAGACCTCTAGCTCATCTCCTTTTTACACGGACGACAGACAGACAGACCGACACATACGAGAGCGGTTGCATAAGCCCGCTTGAATGCTTTTTTAAAGGCAGAAGGGTGAGCCAAAAAAAGGTTATACTCAAGGTGTCCTGCACAAGTTCACAGAAACACGGTAAAAAGATTTTCTTGGATAAGAAGGCTTTTCCTTGAATTTCAAGTCCGAATGCATGAACAAAAGATTAAACCTTAAAATCCCAGAATCTGCCTTGAAGCCATCCGCTTCCAAGGGGGAGCCTTGCAATTTACTTTTAGTAATCCAAGGCAATCTCTTTCACATTAGACCGATAGTTCTAAGGCTTTTCCTTGGAAGCAGATGGTTTCAAGGCAGATTCTGGGATTTCAAGGGTCGATCTTGAAATAAATTACCCATCCTTGAAATTCAAGAAATAATCCAAGAAAAACTTTTTACCGTGAACTAGGGCCATCCCTAAATCGCACCTGGTATCTGGTGAACGCGAATGTGCTGGCCAGCGTGGGCCGACGCCGCGGCGGTTGAGTAGCGGTTGCGGCCACGCCCTCAAGTGGTTCAACTGAAGCGAAGAGCAGGCGAAGAGCAGGCGAAGAGCAGACGAAGAGCAGGCGAAGAGCAAGGGCTAACTGGATGGCCGCTGCGGCCGCTTTGCTGGCCAAAGTAGAGGCATTCTTGACTTTCTTGTCTTGGCTTAGTTGTAGAGACTACCATTTTTGGACCTCTTTACGTCTCTTTTAGAATTCCAAAAATTAGTCTACAGTTAAGAAAACAAAACGCTGCACTTCAAGACATAAAATGCCCCCGAAAAACCGTCTGGGATTGTCTAACAAGGTCGAAAAACGGGTCTTCAATCAAGAGTTGCGTTTAATGTAACAAACGCGTTTTTCAATTTTCGTTTACAAATTTGCAATAACCACAATTTTGCTAGTGCAAACAAGTGATCGCGCATGCGTGTGTATGCCAACTTTTCATTAATTCTCTCAAGGTGTTAGAGTGAGGGGGTTTTCGCACCCTCCGCATCTCTTCAGGGGCTGATGCCGGTATTACACGATCGGTGATAACGCCGCCGTCTAGACAGTGACAGTTTTTTTTCAGTTCTGCAGTGTACACGATTTGCCCGCGCAGCCACGGGTGCACATATCCTTTGACGTATGCGCGGTCCAACAGTCGAGTACTCATCTGGCAAATGTGAAGCTGTGGCACGAAGTAGGACTGAGTGATTATAACAATGAAAAAAGTTTTCGTGATTGAACGAAAAAAGTTAGGGAATGCTTCGTAAAAAAACATTTACAAAAATATTTTGATAGTGCCGATCTACGAAACATTTCGTAAGGTTACAACTCGTGACGAATAGAAAGTTTTGGGCCATAATTCATAAAATTTGACAAAAGAAACACATTCAATAGCCCGTGAGTTAGACCTTTAGATTGTACAAAGCAATTCGTAACATAACGATGTATCGTAATTGGTGGAAAACGGAGTTTTACTAAAAAATTAACCAGAAAATGTCGTAAAATCTTGATATTTACTTTTACAGTGGCACTCTCAGAACATAATGTACAATTTTTTAAAAAAATTAAGTACTTTCTTCTTTACGCAGCAGGACTGATACAACTGCGCTAACCTAACGACACCCAACCTAACGAAACCTAACTAAACGAATCCTAACCTAAAATAACATAATGTAACCCAAACAAACGTGCAATCCACCTTGTGCAGCTGAGGACCACGCGCAGTTGCAGGACTTGCGCGGCTGCCGACCACGCACAGTTTCAAGGGAGACAAAACTGACGCGCAGTTACAAATGGTACACGTTGACCCCGCGAAGTAGCAGATCTCGCGTAGTAGCAAACTTCGCGCAGCTACAAACCACGCCCAGCTGCACTCCTTACGCAGTTGCTGGCCACGCGTAGTTGCAGAAAATGCGCAGTTAAAGACCAAGCGCAGTTGCCGACCTTCGCGCAGTTGCTAGCCTCGCGCAGTTGCAAACCTCACGCAGTCACCGACCTCGCGCAGTGGCAAACCTCACGTAGTTAGCGCGCACCCCTAGGAACAAATATTTGACACCTTATGAAGACAACGTCAAGGTGGTGCGATTCTTGACTTAAAGGAAATCAAAAGCAAGGCGGTTAACATTTGGCAACATAGTAGGTTGAACCTACTGATCTGGGGGCCATTTTAAATCTAGGTTGCCTATTCCGAAACAAAAAGTTCATCGTGTGAAGTTCCGGCAAATGTTTATAACAAATACACACAGTTACCAAGGTTACTCATAGAAACCACTTCAAACGTCTCTCGGGTTTATATGCTGAAAAAATGCAACTATGGATGAGAAAATATGTTTGGATTCCATCAAACCCGAACAAATTTCTTGTTGTTTGTGATCGTTTGAATGGGTTCCTAACAGTTCGTTACATAAAACACTACAGTAGGACATATAGCAGACAGCTAGAAATCGCCAGTAAGAACCGAATCCACGCGTTTCCGCGCCTGCTGATGGTCAGCGATACTTCACGTGATCGTGCTCCATCACTATGCCGGCTCAGATAACAGGTGCGCTACGTCAGGTGATAGTGGTGCCACAGGTGGGATAGCTAAATGGGCGGGAGTCTCGGCTAGAGCCACCAGACCGCCAGAAAGCAGCGGACGAGCAGGAGTGAGCTCGCCAAGCAGCAGCAGCTGTAGATCTGATTCACGGCGGAACGATAGGCGAACAAACCCGTCTTTCGAACATGGTGAGTTTGCGGAAACGGCACGGAACTAGCAAATCAAGTGTACTCTAACGATTGTGTCTGGTCCTTGTTTTACATAATGTGCATTGCGTGTGCTTGTTTCGTCTTATACCGATTGTCTCGTATTGTTGAGTACTGTGATCAGGCCAACATATTTATTTTCTCTGATATCATCGAGTCAGTATTATTGTTCTTTCACTGGGAAGGGACACTTTTTTGTACTTTGGAGATGTGCCTATGCCCACATCTTCTTTAAGAACAAATATGTGTATAAAGAGGTACAAGCTGTACATAGAGTGGGTGAAAATGTTTTGTCTCTACTCAATAGACAAATTTGTGTCTTTATAAGGACACGTATGACCAAAGAGGTACACAATTGTTTCTTCTCATTGGCCTTCGTGGCGGTTTGCTCCTCATTCTACTATACGAAACAGAGAGGCTCAATGCTTCACAAAAGCAATCTAGGGATCGTCAACACAAACTGAAATTGACCAATATTGATAAAAATGTGCTCTCATGTCCACAGATGTTCCAGCCCAACATGATGCGCACGGCCATGCTTGTCACCGTGCTCGTGCTGCTCATTTTCTTTCTGTACCCGGCTGCCATCGTACGCCTCATCGTTGCCTCTGGCGAGCTCAATCCCTTCCGGAACCTCACCCTGCCAAGCCAACACCATCGCCAGTATGCCGAATCCGGACGCTTTCGCAGCAGCGGGAATCTAAAGGGTGTCAATGCGCAAAACGCTAACAACGTCACTGCGACAGAGGCCATCGTCGGCTTTACGTCTACCACTGTCGTGCGCTCTGGTTCAAGCATCACTTCCAGTATTGCCTCTAGCACTTACTTCCCTTCTGCACCCGCCACATCTTCCAGTATAGTTCCGAGTACTGCCTCCCGTGAGGAAACCACTCGCAACGCGATAGTTGTTGGTGGTCGTCTGTTTGTGAGCCATAACCTTGCCCCCGTGGAGGTCTTGCCAACCCCAAGCGCGCCTGCCGGACTGCTCTCCAGGCGGATACACGCTCGACACGCCCGCGCCCACCGATGGCCAGAGATGCCTGCCGTCTAAGACTTTGACTGACGGACGGCGACATTTTATTTGATCTGAATAACTTTAAAACAATAATACGACTAAAAGATCTCAACCAAACCGCCGTTTTTCCGCGGACCTCTTCGGAGGAAAAAGGATTGACTGACTATAATACTGAAAAGAGGACTCTACGGCCAAGGGTATTGTAAAAAAATAATATGTGTTAGAAACGCAATTGTATACGTCTAAGTGTTCATAAAGTAGTTTTAATACCTTTGTTGTACATATTTGAACATTTGAACACGTCACAGATAAATTATTAATGACTAACTACTTCTTTTTATTTCGCCCTTTGCTCTAACGAGTGGTATACTATGTAAAATGCTTGCTGCAGTGAACTCTTTATAAAAGCCGCCGCGACAGTTATCGAGGGTACTGTGCGTTGGCTGCTGCCGTGCTCCGCTCTCCCCACTCCTCCGGCAGGTGAGTCGGGCGAGCCGCCGGAGCCGGTAGTCAGTCTGCATGAACCGTTTTTTTTCTATAGCTATCTCTCCCGCACGCGACACTTATCGAGAGTCCACTGTACCTATACCCTTTGCAGCGTTGCAAAGAACTTGAGAGCTTCGTATTGCAAAGAATCAGTTTATGTTGCAAAGAAAGTCTTTGCAAGCTGCACTTTAAAAAAATTACAAGTTCCAGTATCAATTTTGAAACAAAATTTTGTACCCTGGATGCAGAATCAAAAATTGTTAATGTTCTGACAAAGTTTTGTAATTGTAACCGACGTACAAACTAAATGGATGAAAAATTTTGTCACTGTTGCGGGTTTATGTAATTATGACAAATATTTTAGACCTTGTTACACGTCGTCGTGGTATCATTTTCTGTTTACTTGACATAAAAATTTGTACCGTCAAATGGTCTAATATGCCCGAACAGAAAAAAGTAGCTTTAGGAAGGCTCCACCGTAGCCATTTTCAACACATCGCGGAGGCTCGGAGGGACCACTGCCCAGCTTGGGTATATCCGAGGCGGACCCTTCGCGAATGGCTCCGCAATAGGAAACTTAAGGCATAAAATAGACATTCCGGTGCCGCCTTGGAGCCAAACATAGGCGTTATCAGAGACACTTTTAGATCCGTTTTGGAGACAGTGCAAAGCCATATCAAAGACAACTGGGAGCAAACATGGAGAAATCGTGGAGCACACCTGAAGACAACGCGGAGCCACCGCAGAGACACTAGACACTACAGAGACATCGCGAATACACTGTGGGTTCCACAAAAAAAAAATTGTACCCATGTGATAGAATTTTGAAAATTTATCTTATCGCTGCGACTTGCTGCTGGCCTCGATGATCGACCTGTGCGGCGATGTTTCGGTCAATCGGACCTGGTGGGAGTCGAATCACCGACTGTTGTGTTCCGCGCTCCGGTACGGTATCCACTTGGCCAGAGCGATCCGTTCACGGTAAAACCGTGCCCTGGGATTCCCAGGACAATTGGTTCCCCAGGGGTTCCCTGGTATTCCCCGGAGACCTACTGGAAAACCCAGGAAGATCCTGGGAAACCCAGGACGTCTCCTTGGTTTCCCTAGCGTTCCCTGGGATGCTTCTAATTCCCCTGGAAAATGAGAAAAACTCCTGGGAAACCCAGGGCTTGTTTTTACCGTGTTGCGAACAAACAGGGTCTCAGCGCACATATCGGCAAATCTCCATCTACGGATAAAATTAAATCAAGTGTGGTCTCCCTTTCCAGTAGCCTCTAATGTATCTACAGTCTATTGCCTCGCTTCCTGTTAAGTTTGAACGGTGTCAGAAGACGCCGTGCAAGGAATAACTGGTTGGGCGCCGACCGGGATCGAACCTGCTCCGCTTACTATCCAGCCGCCAGGCACAGAGACCACTGCGCCACCGAGGCGCCTGGAGGGGGGACGGCAGAGCGCGCTACCTCTGCAATCGCTACCTCTGAGAATCGAATGCAGCGTCGCGAGTGGCTTGTCGTTGGTGTACATTGTAGGGTCTTACAACGGATCGCTCTGGCCAAGTGGATACCGTACCGGAGCGCGGAGCGCACACTCGGAGGTTCGACTCCCACCAGGTCGCATACACCGAAACATCGCCCCAGAGGTC